CCCATGGTGAAGGGAAGCCCTGCAGACTGCACACCAGTGTGGTCCCCAGGCTCACGTACAGCAGTGCTACTCCCCAGTTAGTGGAGCAGAAGAAAGCAGCCTCCCTGTATGCAGACAGCCCAATGATGGAGAGGCTGGGGGCGAGGACCATGGGCCCGCAGCGCTGGACTGCCCACCCACACACACCGGACACTCCCAGCACCAGCTGAACCAGCCCAGAGACCAGCACAGCTCCAGAGACCTGTGAGGTGAAAGGTGGAACCTGTGGAGCACAATACATAGACAGCAGCCCAAAACTCCCCCTTAGCCACAATCCCACCACCCCATAATTTGTTCCTTGTGCTCTGCTCACCCAAGCCTGAGTGAACATAAGCACCCACATGCACCACAACCACCTTTGCACATCGCTTGTGTCCCTCATATTCATAGCAATTCCCAGGAGGGCTGGGTAAGAGGCTTTACGGTGGATGGGCAGAGGTAGCAACTGGGGTGCCAGTGGAGCAGGAGGACAGGGGACCCCCAGCCCAAGACAGGAGCACCCACCTCTTGCAGCGAGGCAGCCTGGCTCCCTGCCACAGGGCAGTGTGGAGCAGGACATGCGCTGGCCACAGCTGTTCCTGGAAGGGAATTTTGGAGGAATACGATTTATGTGGACACTGGGTTCCTGGAGCCAGGTCCAAGAGCATGCAGCATGGAGGCTGACGGCTGGAGAAGGGCCAGTGTGCCAGAGACAGCATCCCCATAAGGTCTGCTGCTGTAGGGGTGACCAGACGTGTTGCTGGTGCACTCAGGGGTGAGCAGGGTGCTGTGCACCATCGCCAGAGGGGCCAACAGGCAGGATCCTTTGCTGCCGTTCGTCCCTACCCAGTGCCCCAGGCCCCTTGTCACCACTGTTGCTCTAGCACTGGCATGGCTGGGTTCCTGCAGGATGCAGAATCCAGGGCTATGCTTACCGTTCCTGTCCATGCTGGCACTGAGGGAGAGGTGGGAGCTCAGGACCATGGCAGGAACCAAGTACTCGAAGGATGGGATTTGAACCAGTGGCAGCCTGGGGGACAGGACAGCAAGGGCACGTTAGAGAGGAAGGAGTGGACAGGGTTGCTCCCAGAGTTCTGGCTGCCAGAGTGATGTATGGGAAGGGAA